TGCAGACGGTAGTTGCCTATCAATAGGAGAATTAACTGTCTAATTAAGTGTCAGTCTAGAAGGGTGAAACTCAATAGGTAAAGGGAGCCTAAACAATTAGTCATTACTGTGCGCGCATGGTGAGGGGTAGAGGAGGGGGGAAGTAATTGACACAACATGGTAGTTCATGTTAGTGCATGTGCATGACAGTTTGTAGGACGTGATTAAAAAGGGGAAGGGGGGCGGGGAGGGGCAGTGGACAGGGTAGCAGCCAGTCCTAAGGGTGACGAGGAGGCGTAAATGGGAATGAGCTTATCGATCGTTACCACGGAAATGTGAGGTAGATCACATGGTTCAGCTGCTTACAGAGTTCTGGCTTTCTTCTCCGTATTGCAGCGGCCTCCGCAAAGCGTAGCAGACGCCCGTTAGTCGCCCGATGTATGACCTTAAAAGCAGTTGTTTGGTCGACTCTATGGCCAGTGTCCATTGAGTGCTTCGTATTTGAACTCTTGGGTACTTTACTTTCCGCCCCGAGCAACCACTTCGGCATGTGTACAACTGAGCGCATTGCCACCTGTCTTTGCGTGCGCCCCATTTATTTACATCCACAACCACACGTGTACTAGTAAACACAGTTTTAAGTGCCGTCCATAGGCATAAAGCCTTCAGTCGGTTGAACTCGAATAATCATTTTTGTGCTCACGTACGACAGTTCAGCGGCGGAATAAGTTCTTGCAATTGTGCATCAAAGCCTCCGTTTTATAACGTTTGCGTCATTATCTCCCCTGAAATGGAAGAAAATGCTCACCGGCTTTTTTGGCACGGATATTTCAGGAGTATTTCTTGTCTGCGGTTTTAATACTTTACAATGAATTTTTCAGGAAAGCCGTTTCCAGGAGATTGTTTCTTCGAGGCTGACAATTAATACTCTCATTAATAGGCAACGACCACCTGCAGCTGGATGAGAGGTCACGAAATTTTCTGAAGTCATTAACTTCTGATAATCTAGTGATCTTTGCCTGGTTTAAATTCCTTCCGGGAAAACAATGAAATGCATTGTTATTGACATGAACTATGTTGGCCACTTTGTGCATTCCTTAAACATGTCAGCAGTACACAGAATGCTGCGCACATTAGCAAATTGTTTACATAGGCAGTTTATGGTCCTGTTTTTGTTTCTTTTTATAGAAGCTATGCCACACACACGAGTGCATCGCAGTTGCTGCAATATGTGCAAAAACCGACTACCGGATTAGCTTACTAAAGTACTATATGTATCGAGAGCTAAAGCAAAGCAAAGTGCCCATAGGCCACTGAGTTTTTCCCAGATTTTTGTCAAGCCGAAGCCTACCTGAAGGGAAATTAATGACAAAGTCTCCAAATGGTTGTTTCACCAAATAAATCCACTTACAAAGCACTCTGAGTACTCCATTGGTAATTCAAAAGGGTTTCTAGACAAACTAAAAAGAATGGAAGTCTCAACAGTAAAAATCATGGTTCCATATTATGTAGCCTCGCTCTTAACCCCGATCCCCCTGGATTTAGCGAGATGCTGCACCAAAAAAACTATGCCAGACCTATACCACTTATGTACCTACAGAAGCTTTACTCCAACTACTATACCTTTGCCTTGAAAACAACTTTTCCTTCCCAGATCAGCACTACCAACAAGTTAAAGGAGCCCCAATGGGTTCACTCATATCCGGCTTTCTGGCCGAAGCTGTTATGCAGAAGTAAGAATCAATAGTCCTCCCCTCAGTCAAACTGAAATTCTGGTTGGGCTATGTGGATGACACATTTTTCATCATCAGGAAGAATGATTTAGACCTCTTCCTCAAGAAGCTCAATTCCACATCCCTAGGAATTGAATTTACATTCAAAACGGAGGTTGATGGACAACTCACATTCCTTGACATTCTTGTACACCGAAATACTGATGGATCACTCCATACATCTGTTTACCGCAAAGAAACATATTCGGAAGTCATCCTTCATTTTAAGAGCAACCACTCAGTCTCTCACAAAATAATTTCTCCCTACAGCCTCCTTAATCGAGCTAAAACGCACTGCTTTGATGACAAAGGTTTGCAAGTAGAAATAAAGTACCTTTTTCTATTATTTTCCAAACATGGATATCCACGAACTTTCTTACCCCAGTGCATAAAACGAAAAGAAAAGAAAGAAAAGAAAAAGACATGTCAACTGGTACGGCCAAGGAGGCATCGAGAACACTTACCTGGCGAACTCTCCCATACGTAAAGAAGGTATCTGAGCTTGTCGGAAAGCAAATAAGTGGCACACTAGCCCGCAACCACCTAACGATCACAGCTTGCACACCCTAAGGACAGGGCTGCCTATCTTGAAAGAAAAGAGGTTGTCTACAAGATCCCGTTTTCCAGTTGTGATGCAGTTTATTGTGGCCAAACCGGGAAATGCGTCTCAACCCGCATACACCAACACCGATCAGCGGTCAGAAGACGAGGACATTTATCCCAGGCGGCCAACTGAAAACCAGCCATAAATTCGCATGGGAGAACACACGGATTGTTGGCACTTATCCAAATAGAAAAGGGAGTGAATTAATTGAAGCAATACACTCGAACGAGGCATACACCAATAGGCATATCGATTTTGACGCCAGCTATAGTTACCTCAGAGCCAAATTTAATGCGTGCCACCTAAAACAGCAGAATAAAGAAAGACACGTTTTGCCTACTAGCACGGACTGAAAATTTTGCCAATAGGTGCACACTTAAGAGGAATATTGATTTTTCTGAAGGTTTAAAAATTTAAGGTGTTTGTTTTACACTTTTTCACGTGTGAAGAAGATCTGTTGACATTGCGACGAAAATCTACACAATAAAGTTCCAATTTTCCTAAATACCTTTTTTTCTTCTTCATCAATAAACATGTATACTATAAGTCTGGAGGTCATCACCATGCAAACTTTCTGCTTTGGTAAAAAAATGCGAGTTGGATAATTGATGCTCTTGTCAGAAACCATATAAGCAACCGTAGTGCTTTGTAAGGTAGACAGATAATGTCATATGGGCCAAAATATCTTCATTTTCAAATAATAGTCAACAGTCTCTAAAAAGGAGGACGCAGGGGAAAAATGCTTACTATGAAAGCAGAGGCATAGTTTAGCGGACCATCACTTTTAAAAAGAAATGTTAGGAGAAAATTAAGAGGTTGCTTTATAGGATTGTTGCGATATAGTTAGATAGCACTGTTGATGGGAACGTATGGCGCTTCTTGTCATTGAAGAGATGGCAGCAGAGGCTACCGTTTACGACCGTAACATCGCCCGACTGGCTACAGGAGGGAGAGAGACAGGAGAAGGTAGTCTTGGACGATAGGGTCGAAAGGATGAATGGACACTGGGGGTTACAAGATCATCACCCAAATGCCGGAATTGCGACCTTGCGGACTGCAGAGTCCAACGCCAATTTGATGAAAACCAAAGAACCGCCACGAGCATCATCAGAGACAACAAAGCCCATCGCTGGTGTTGAAAAACAAAGAACGTAGAAAAATTGTCAACATCTATCCCATTTTTATTTACCTGAACTACTCCTGTGTGGTAGGTAAACAAAGCAAATACTCGTAAGATCTTGGCTTTT